TGGTTGCAGTGGCAGGGTATTGGTGGGGGTGGGGCTGAAACATTTAATTCATCCAAGTGCAAAGTGACCTTCTGGAAAAATAAGGATCCCCTCATTGGTGCAGACTGACCTCATGATTGATGCGACCTGCACAGGAAGCTAGGCTGGTGATACTCAGAGAGCAAGCAGCACAGGGTGGGGTGCTCCACTGTTCCTCCCAGTCCCCACCAAATCATACTAGGCAAATATTTGAGTACTCCTTTTCATTATGTTTTTAATTTAAACATTGTGTGTGTGTGTGTGTGTGTGTGTGTGTGTGTGTGTGGTGTGTGCATGCCCCAACATGTGTGGAGGTAGGACGACAACTTGTGGGAGTTGGTTCTTTGAGTCAGGTTCATCTCAGGTACTGAACTCGGGTTGTCAGGCTTGGCACCAAGTGCTTTTGCTCACCAAACCATCTTAGCCATTTGCCCCTTTGAGACAGGCTCTCAAAAGCATAGCCCTGGTTGTCTTTGGATTGTCTTGCCTTTAGCTTCCTGAGTGTTGGGATTACAGTTGTATACCACAGCACCCAGCTCTATTTTAAGATCAGCCTGCTCAGTGTGGCCAAGTCTCAGTGGGGCCCAGTGCCAGAGTTGACCACGGGGATCTTGGCAGCTGACTACACTAAGGGGCTCTCCTCTACATACCCGTGACCCAAATCATATGAAGCGAGGTCTCCCAGACACTCTGGCTGCGGCCTTTGAAGGTACTCAGCTGAGTCTCCATGACCAGGGATTCTCCCAGCAGGAAGATAAGGAACCACAGATAGGAGGCAGAGTGCAGCAGGAACTTCAACACTGGGATCTTCAGCAGGTGGCCCAGCTTCAGGGGAGACAGGAGAGCATGGCTGTCAGAGGCCTGCTGTCACTCATCCTTGCAGACCTCTGGACTGCTTGGCTCCCATGTGAGTCTGTCTTTCAGATTCACCCACTCATCTAGGCAAGTACGACAAAGAATGTGCACCAGGCCCTATGTTTTCTGTTTTCTCCTTCACAACCACAGGAGGTAAGTGTTATTATTGCTTCTCCCCTCCCCTGATTTTTTTTTTTTTCTTTTTGGTGGTGAGATCCCACAAGAAAAGTTTAAACTCAACCAAATTGAAAGGTAAAATCATCACCCACTACTATTTTAAACCTGCTCCTTCGACCTCCCGAAACCACTGAGTCACCCAGTCAGGAGCCTGAGTGGCTCCTTTCCTCTCTTTCTCTTGCCACACTCTGGCAGTTCTTGTAACGCCTGTCCCTGTCCCTAGTCCACCCGTGTATTTCCAGTGGAGAGCTTGCTTCCAGAACACAAAGCAAGGTATCACTCATCTTATTCTTCGTACCCGGGACTTGGGTGCCAGCCAGTAGCCAATGCAGAGGAAGGGCATGGTGAGGAAGATGAGAAAGGCAACAAAGAGCTTCCAGATGGTGGTACTTCCACGCCAGCCAGCCAGGTTCCCACACCAGATGGAAGACAGAACTTGCTGGCAGATGGGGTGTGCTACAAACTAAGCAGAGATGGGCCATGAGAGGAGGAGGGTTAAAAGAGCCGGTTGGATGCAGAGTCCTTACTTCCTGCAACAGAGGTTGAACTATCATTTTGTCTCCATGCCAGCCCACCCAGAAGATTAGGGGCTTCACCTGCCATATGACCACAGGCAAGTGCCTTCAGTAGGCCTTGGTGTGGACGAATCTGAATGTAAAGATATCCCAAGACTCTCCACACCCCACATTCTTTAGTCAAAGGTAAGGCAGGAATGGGTAGAACTTGGGCCTAAGTCCCAGGGTTCCCAGTGTTCCCTGCCTCAGCATGTGTTTGTAACATAAGTCTACGTGAATGATCTTGAGGAGGGAAGGGCCATGTAATATGGAGACAACACCCAGAAAGCTTTGGTCATGTGCCTGGGCATCATGCCTAGGTCAGGGCATCATCATGTAGATGACAGCGAGGAGTCAGGGGCTGGGGAGACTGGACAGGGATCCTGTCTTTAGTGTGGCTGTTGGGTAGGACATCTAATGAGACAGTGGAGAGAGAAAAAAAAAATCACCAGCCATTTAACCATTTGCTATATAGGTGAGGTGCTGTAGTCTGGGTCAAAGTTACTCATCAGGCTAGAGGCAAAGCTAAGTCTGTGTAAGACCTCGATATGGAATCCTAATGGTGCCTGGTTTTCCAAAGGGGTTGCGTGGTGGTAGTGCGAGGGGGCGCTAGTGCTCAGATTGAAGGTAACCAGGTGAGGGATGGGAAACCTCCTTTCTTGCTGGTAAGGGCTCATATGTATGGAAGGATACTCAGAATCAATTTCTCAGAAGGTCCTGAGGATAGAAAGTCATGGTATAAGGCTGAAGCAGGATATGCCTCTGAGGCAGGACAAAGGACCAGGGTAGGCAGGGCAGGCAGTAGGCCCAGCTGACCTGTTTCTGGTTGTAGTTGACAGCCAGGCGCAATCTTGCCAGGTTGGGGATACCCTCCTCAAAGGCCTGGCCCAGGCCCTCAGATTCAGGCTCAGTCTCACTATCCTCACCCAGGTCATTGAGCACAGCGGTGACCTCACTCTGATTCCGGCACATGCCCAACAGTTCAAAGCCATAGTCTTGGCAGAGTGACTCCAGGGCAATGTACTGAGGCTGGAAGAAAAGGGGTATGTGTGTGCTGTCAATCTATTCCCGCCCCTCCCCCCAAACAGTAGGCCATTGTCACTTCTGTTTGATGTCACTGGGTCGTCTATTTCTTTTTTCTCTGCTACCTCATCAATCTTTCTGTGTCACTTTGCTCATCTAATGCTATTCCCATCTCATACTAAGTCGCTTCAACCCAAACCTGCCACCTTTGTCTGTCCCTTGGACTTCTCTAATTCCTGGTTTCTGTCCCACTTTAACTCTGACTCCCCATAGTGTTTTTTGTTTTTTGTTTGTTTGTTTGTTTGTTTTTCGAGACAGAGTTTCTCTGTGGCTTTGTAGGCTGTCCTGGAACTAGCTCTTATAGACCAGGCTGGTCTCTAACTCACAGAGATCCCCCTGCCTCTGCCTCCCGAGTGCTGGGCTTAAAGGTGTGCGCCACCAACACCCGGCCCCATAGTGTTTTTAAACACTGCTTTTATTGTGGGTGATGTGTGTGCACGTACACACGCCATAGCACATGCACGGAGGTCAGGACAACTTCGCAGAATTGGCTCTTTCCACTGTTATGTGGGTCTTGGGGATTGAACTCAAGTCCTGATCAGACACTCTGCTTCATGTATTTTTGGTTCATCCAAGGTCCTCATACATTTTTTGGGGTGGGGTGGATCATTGAGGTAGGACCTCATACATTCCAGGCTGGCCTCAAACTTGTCAAAGATGATCTTGAACTCTGACTATTCTGTTTCTACCTCCCAAGTGGTGAGACTACAGGTATGTCCACCACATGTAGTGCTGGGGACCAAACTCTGGCTTTCACCCACAGCAGGCAGGCACTCTACTGAGTCTCACCTCCAACCCCTCATTATATACCTTTTGCCAGGACTTCAGCTTACTTAAACTAACTCCCCTGCTCATCTTCACTAACCAGCCTCTTCCACAGCCAAGCTTAAATACCTCTTCCCTTAAGAATCTTACTGAAACACAAAAGCCCTGGGTCACTCTTTTTCTGCTTCTGTGCTTTGGAGTCCTGTGAAGACCAACCAGAGGCACTGAATGAAGTCCTGGGAATACTTTGTCCCCTTTTCCCGTCCGTGATCACAAGCTTGAGAGCCCCAACACACAACACACCAGGTGAAAACACAGTGGGTACCCCTAAGGGACATGCTCTACCGAATATCATATCTAAGTTTGTCCAGCTGTTTCTATTTTTTTTTTTTTTTTGGTTTTTCGAGACAGGGTTTCTCTGTGTAGCTTTGGAACCTATCCTGGCATTCGCTCTGGAGACCAGGCTGGCCTTGAATTCACAGAGATCCGCCTGCCTCTGTCTCCCCGGAGTGCTGGGATTAAAGGCATGTGCCACCAACGCCCAGCAGCTTTTTCTATTTTTCTCTCTTGCCTTAGATGGATCTAGAGTACCCCTAAGTTAGGGGCTATACTCTCTGCATAAGCCAAGTGCCTCTGGAGTGACTGCTGTCAGTAGAATGAAAGCTTGTTCAGAATGGAATTGTAGCTCTTAGAACAAGAGGCCTCATAGACTTTTACGGCTTCTCACTTTTCTAACTTCCTAGAATACCCACCATGAAGCCCAATCCTGTCCCAGTACAAGAACAGACACTGGGCACAGAGGGCAGGATGGAGTGAAGAGTGGGGACAACAAACCTTAAACTCAGGCTCCTTTCGTGCCAGGCGCCTGAGCTCCCGGCTAAGCTGAAAGGCAGCCAGCATGGCATCCTCGCTGGCCAGTGAGAGGTGAGCCCGGCTTGCGATGCCACGGTAGGTGTTGATTCGGGATAACGAGAACTTAAGCAGGTCATATCTTCGGGCATTGCTGCACTCAAGGCAGGCACAGGAAACTGGGTGGGGCCGAGCAATAGTGTGGCCCTGGTCCATGAGCAACTGGGCAATCTCATATAGGTCCTTTTGGCAGGCTAGTGTGAGTGGAGTGACACCAGGGGCAAAGCGGGAGCCATCGATTGATGAGTCAAAGAAGGCCAGAGAAAAAGACTTGGTGTCTACTTTTCGACCCTTCTCCCGTTCTAACCGAGCTAGGAGGCAACGCACCACTGCTGGCTGGTTTGTGTCCACAGCCACTAGCAGAGCTTCATGTATTTGCCGGAAGTCAAACTTGATGTTGGCCAGCAGTACATCAGTGATGGCCTCATGGCCCAGACGGATGGCCAGGTTGAGGGCTTCCCTCCAGGAGCGGTCCTCAGACTCTTCCACATTCCGAAGAGGCCCACCACCTGAGGCGTCAGAGCCTGACTCCAGCAGCTGCTGCACGATACCCAGCTGGCCCTCCTGGATGGCACCCAGAAGTGTGGGTGGGAACTTGAGCTTTTTGTTCACAATCTCAGTCCAGTTGGGCTGTGGCTGGGTGAAGGAGGGAAAGAGGACAGTTGCTCTTGAGTTCCCAAACCCCTTAGCCTGGAAGCCTTCCTCACCTACCTTCTGGCCTCTAATCCTCTGCAATTAACTATTATGCCTCCCTTGTCGCAAACACATGTTCGACAACACACACTGTCTTGCTCACCATTTTATTATGTAGATTCATGTCAGGAAAGAGCTGGAGTGGGGAGTGTTACCAGCTCACATCCACTTTCATTAAAATCCTACACACTAGGGCCCAGTGTTAGTTCCCTGTAGAGAGGTGATTAAAGCAGGTGATCAGGGTCACACTGGGAGCCTAACACACACACAAGCACACAGAATCTGGCTAGAATCCAGTTCCCAGCTTGTTGACTTCATCTTCCAGTTGCTCATCTGTCTGAAGGACAAATCCAGATATGTTCACATGGAGGGTCTTTAAGCTGGGATTCCCCCAAGCCCTTCCTCTATGAAAAGGACTCCCAGTAGGCTCCTAATGTGGTCCCCTCCATCAAATGCTCTCACTTTGCCTCCCACTTTGCAAGGCATCTCTCCTCTTTGGTATTGTTTGGTCCTGCTCTTCTACCAGGCATAGCCCTGTCCTTATTGCTTTTTTCCTAAGCCCAGTCTCATGGCTCCGGAGGCTGTCCCACCCACATGGTGGTATCCACAATCTGTCCCTGCATCCCTGCAGGCAGTGAGCCATGGAACTGGGGAGAGGAGGGGAGGGGAGGGAAGAGGGAAGCAAGGGTCTCTTACCGAGAGGGGATCCATGGCTACAGCCACCTCTGCAGGCAGGGGCTGAAGGCTTGAACTCCCCTTCTGTCTCTCCCTTGACTGTGCCCAGCATCCTCTTTCATCCCCACTCAAAGTCCCGCCCTGCACCCTCCCTTTTTCAGGACCAGCTGCTCTCTCTCTGCCCTGTACCCCGGGGATAGGGGGAGCTAGTGTTAGTGCCATACGATGCCGTCTCCTGGGAAAAAGGGAAGAGTGCATAATTTTTCAAAGCAGAATTTGGACTACCATAGGTCCAGGACCTCGAGGGGGACTGCAGCCCAATGATCTCACTGAACAGATGGGGTTTACTCAAAGCCTCACAGCCAAACCTAGAACCATCTATTCCTTAGAAAGGAAATCTCTCTGGACTCTTTGACAACCCTACAAGCAGCAGGAGGAGGTTTTCCTGTTACCGAAGGTCCACTTCAGACCCATAATAAGCAAATGTAAAGTCATAGAGCAGCTATCTGATTACATGTAGGGCAGACACCCATGAAGGATACAGAAGGTCAAGGTCATAAGAACTCAATTGTCAATTTCATGTTCAAGACTCACACATCTTCCCAAAACACCATGGGACTTTATTATTTCCAGTCCACATTTTCCTTCTAAGCCTCAGTTTTCCTTTCAGGAAAATGGGCATGAGCATAAGTACCATTCACCAAGGGAAACACATTCTAGATAGTGTCCTAAGGCCTTGGAGAGATCACCAATTCTACCGAAGAAATTCCAAGGGGAAACTGTCCTTCTGAGAATTGGGTACCATAGTGACAAAGCCTTGACAACCGGGAACGGGGAACAAGCTGGTCCAGAAGTGTCCTCAGGCAGGCAGAGTTCTGAGGTAATAGGTGAAGGGAGGGGAACCAACCCTTCTTAGCCACAAGAGACCTATTCCCCAGGTTCCACATAAAGAGTCAACAGAACTTCATGGCTCAGGCTGGAAAAACTTCCCCACACATGCTGGCATGCTCTTCTATTTCTCTTGCTGAGAACTGTAACTCACAAATAGGGCACTCGACCGAGGAAGGTGGTGGTGAGCTCTCTGGGGACGACACCCACAGCACAGACTGCGAGGAAGACGAGGAGGAGGGAGAAGCTGGAAGCGGTGGGCAGCTCTCTCCACAAGTGGCAGCATGCAAAGGAAGTGTCTCCATGCTGAAGGAGCCTGAGGAGGGGAGAAGGAAATAAACAGAATGGGACTGGTTCCTCCCAGGCAAGCTGCCACCCCGAGATGTTGAAGGAGTGTCTGCTGCCAATGTGCAACTGCTTGTGTGGGAAATCTCCCACACACCCAAGAGACACTATCACGTATCTGTCAACCACTCACCACCTTACAGAATGCTGAGTCTACTGGAAAAGGCCAGTTATGAGCACAAAGAACATTGTCACCAGACCTGACCAAATCAAAACTGTGTTTGGTGTGTGCGCTTCCATATGCACTTATGGAAGCCAGAAGGTGATATTAGCTATCTTCTTGCTTCTCCATCTTATTTTTTGAGACAGGGTCTCCAGCTGTACCTGGAGCTCACTAGTTATCTAGACTGACTGGTCAGTGAGTCCCAGGAGTCTGTCATTTCTGCACCTCCAGCCTGGAGTTACAGACATGGACTGCCACACCCAGCTTTTACATGGGCGCTGGGGATACAAACTCAGGTCCTCACAGTTGTGTGACAAGTATTTAACCCACTGAGACATCTCCCCAGGCGCTACCAAATATTTCTGCTAGTATCCATAGACGTCCTCCTGTCTTCCTCAATGAATGCCTGGTCTTCACAGATTAATCAATGCAGCTCACCTGTACAAATAGGACACTGTCCAGTAAACTGAACACCATCGTCACTTTTGGTCTGAGGTTGGTGCTGTCTTTGCTTTGCTCTTGCTGCCCCATTCCTATTTGGCTGAGAACTTGAGCTGGACAATGGTCTGTGGGAAAAAAAACAGTTTAAGGCCAGCTATCTGGGAAACACCACAAAGGATGAAGGAACATAGAATCCAGACTAGAAGCATGTGGACGAGAGTGGAAACAGTAATTTCGTCAGAGTCCTTGTTTTTCCACCTGATATGACAAACTAGAGGACAGCAGTTAACCTTTGAGTATCTGACAACAGGGCTTCTATCACTGTCCTCAGTTTTTAAAAATTAATTAATTTTGAGAGAGGGTCTTACTATGTAGCTCTGCATGGTCTAGAACTTGCTGCAGACCAGGCTTTCCCAGAACTCACCGAGATCTGCCTGTCTCTGTCTTCCAACTCCTGGCATTAAAGGACTATGCCTTCATGTCTGGTGCTTTTTTAATTTTAAAATTCAGATACTATGTACATATCATAAAATTGGAAGCATGGATTAAGGATACTTCCAAGCTGAGTAACTACAACTACTTCCAGAACATTTTTATCAACCCCCAAAGAAACTCCAAATGCACCTTAGTCACTTCACATTCTTTTGTCTGTCTGTCCCCACAGACACCAGCAACCACTAATTCCAGGCTGGCCTGAAACTTGCTGTATACCCCTGTAGTCCTAATGGTCAAACTTGCAATCTTCCTGCCCTGGTCTCCCGAGTGCTAGGACTACAGGCCTGAGACTAAGATTTACATTTTGATCAGATGCAGCAGAGTATACATCATCTTATGCCAATTTCTGCCTATCTCCAAGCTTGATGACATATAGAAAAGGACATCTTTCTCCAGTTGTAGTCTAAGAGGACAAGACCCAGATTGCCCGGGCTTAACTGAAGCAAGAGTGAGGAGAGCTTCAGAGAGTACTGAGGTCAGAGGTGATGGCCGTCTGCCTACCTTTGTTCCTGCAATTTCCTCCTCTTCCTTCTGCCCACATCATTCTTCCTGTTTTGTTCTTCTGCTCTGGGCTCTGCATCAGAAATGCTTATTAGTTATTTTTCGTCACACCACACATAGTGACACATGCCTGTAGTCCCAGCCCCCAGGAATCTGAGACGGAGGACAGTAAGTTGAAGAACAACTTGGGATGAATAATGAGACCTTTTCTTGAAAAACAAAAATCAGCCGGGTGTTGGTGACGCACCCCTTTAATCCCAGCACTTGGGAGGTAGAGGCAGGCGGATCTCTGTGAGTTCGAGACCAGCCTGGTCTCCAGAGTGAGTGCCAGGATAGGCTCCAAAGCTACACAGAGAAACCCTGTCTCGAAAAACCAAAAAGAAAAACAAAAATCAAAACAAACAATCTGGCTTTTTACAAAAGGTTTCTACATTTTAAGTTTTCTTTTGAGATATTTTTTTTCTATCTTCTTCACCTGCTTAGTTTTTTTCTCATTCAAGTCTGAGATGAAATGCTTATTTCTACAAGGCCTTTCTGATTGAAATTTTGTCATCCTATTATCTGTTCTTTCAAAGTGTTTATCACAGTTTAGCTTCATATTTCCTTTTATGACACAGACATGCATCCCTTCATTAAGATACGAGCATTGCTATTTATTATAGTATCTCAGGTACACAGATATGTAATAGATACATGTCAAATGAACAGTAACAAAAGCCATCAGTCACCACTTACCTCTTTATTTAGAATTTCAGAAATTCTTGGTGCAGCCAAATGTATTTCAAAGTGCTTACATAATCTTAGTACCTTATCAATAGTAGATATCCTCAAATGCTTGGTTTCTTTTCAGTCTCCTCTTAAAATTATAAACCTTTATCCTCATAGACTGCTTGTATTGAGGGTCCCTCTGGGTGTGGGTGGTATCTAGTAGCAAATGGCATAGCATCTGTGCATATGTTACAAAAAGCCATGACTTCACTAGGATGTGGTAGCACACATCTTTAATCCCAGTACTTGGGAGGCAGAGGCAGGTAGGTATCTGTGAGTTCCAGGCCAGCTAAGAGTTACATGGTGAGACCTTGTCTCAAAAAAAAAAAAAACCAAAAAACAAAACAAAAAAAAAACCAAAAAAACAAAACTTTTAGCTGGCACTCTCTCCTTCCCTTTTGTCTGTCACTGATGAAACAAACTGCCACACTGTGAGATACTGACTCACCAACCTCTGTAAATGAGCAGGGATAGCATCCTTTCCAGAAGGGCCCTAAGACGACCGCAGTCATTTCTTTTCCCTTTCTTTTCTTTTCTATTCTGAGACAGGGTTTCATGTTACTCAGGCTGGCTGGGCTCTATGTAGCTGAGAATGACCTTGACTACTGATCCCTCTGCCTCCTCCGCTCCCCAGGTTTTGGGATTAAGGCATTCACTAGCATTGTCTTTCTGAGACGATCAAAGAATACCAACACTGAAATAAGCTAAGGTATTAGTTGGTTTAACCCTTTTCCTATGAACATGAGGGAACTGAAGCAAAGACAAGGATTCCTGATTGCTAGGCCAGTGTTCTTTCAATTAGTATATAAGATTTAACTTCTCCTCTTCTTCCCTGAGTAATTTTTCCCTTTCACTTGAAGAGAGTCATCCCAGTACAGCATGGCAGGGTCAGGGAGGAAGAACAGTGTCAGACACAGCAAGGAACAGATCTTGGAGGCTCACCTGCACTCTTTGGATGACTGGGACCTGGTTCCCCATGGCTGTTCTTTGGGCTTACCACACTGGCTGGAAGTGCCTTATGGGTGGCAGAGAGCACCATGCGGGCTGCCCGCCCCAGAGGTCCTGGTTGCAACTGCTTCAGCATACCCTTGAGCTCTTTAATTTCCTTGGTGCTCCTGCAGAATAACAGTACTTAGTTTCACTCAGAATGCAAACATTATTCTATTTATTCAAACCAAGAAAGTCAGTCCGAGATCCTGACTGACATGTTAGACTGATTAATCAGGACACCATGAAAAAAAAATTTGTTTTTTTCTTTTGATTTTCGAGATAGGGTTTCTCTGTATTGGTTTGGAGGTTGTCCTGGAACTTGCTCTGTAGACCAGGCTGGCCTCGAACTCACAGAGATCTGCCTGCCTCTGCCTCCTGAGTGCTGGGATTAACGGTGTGCGCCACCAACACTCGGCCCCATGAATTCGGTTTTTGTGCCCCTGAGCTATGTGGTCTTTCCTTTACAGGAAAAATGTCAACAACAGGTACATACGTCTTAGGAGCTGGGAAGAATGTCCTCCGGATAGAAGGATTTGTCAGCCAAGGCCTAGGATCAGACTCCAGTGTATCAGAAGAGTTCTGAGGAGAAAATGGAGAAATAAATACCCAGCTACACTAGCAGGGGGCACTGTCTCTAGGAACGCAATGTGATTATATGTATCCACAGTAACTTTTACAGGGCATATTTGCTGATGTGAGCAATCTGTGATACTGCGATTTTGTATGCTAAGAGTTTTATCACAATCAGAAGGGCCCTGGAATAAAAGAATCCTCACTATTGGGTAAAACAGGTCTATGGAGACTGATGGAATATGCAAACTTTTGAGTTTGTTTCTTATAAACTTTAAAAATATATCTATATCATACTTTATAAATTTGCATATAAATAAAGTAAATTTTTTGTTTTGTTTTGTTTTTTTGTGGTAGGGTTTCTCTGTGGCTTTGGAGGCTGTCCTGGAACTAGCTCTTGTAGACCAGGCTGGTCTTGAACTCACAGAGATCCGCCTGCCTCTGCCTCCTGAATGCTGGGATTAAAGGCGTGTGCCACCAATGCCTGGCCCCTAAAGTAAATTTTTATAGGTCTGAATTATAAAAGTTCAAGGCCAGCTACAGAGCAAGGTCTTGTCTAAAAATAATAAGTAAATAAAAAAGCTGGGTGGCGGTGGCACACAACTTTAATCCCAGTACTGGGGAAGCAGAGGCAGAAGGATCTCTGTGAGTCTGAGGCCAGCCTGGTTTACAGTGAGAGTTCCAGGACAGCCAGGGCTATACAAAGAAACCCTATCTCAAAACAAAAGCAAAAAGAAAACTCGTGAGAGATTCATCTGCCTTTGCCTCTCAAGGGCTTGGATTGATGACAGAGCTAGGTATATAACAGAAAGATACAGAGGGCTTTGCAAGGCAATGAGTCATCTGCAAGGGAGCCTTGGGGCTTTCAAGTGCTTAAAGTGATAGCTCTCTGCAAACCCAGAAATAACATATGAGGTTAAGTTGAGATTCAAAAAGAATTTCAATATAGCTAAAGAACAATGGTTCAACAGCTTTGTGTAGAGTGAATTCCAGGCTCACTTACATCTCTGCCAAGTAAAAGAAGAAAAAGGAGGAGTTTATTCCACAAGTTTTAGGTCCAAAGGAGACTCTAATTCCCCAAACTCCAAAAGGCAGTTCAAATACTTAGAAATGGGCTCAACCCAGACTGCAGGAGAATTTGTGGCAGTTAGACAAAAGCCAGCATTCCTCGGGAACTTATGAAGCCAGTTCCCTTCAACCAAAAAGAGTTATTTCTTTATCACTGGCAGAAGGAACAAATGGCCACCTGTGGTGCCTATAACACACCAAGTGCATGCTGTCCTCTATGCTCCCTCAGTACCAGGACTCCATGCTAGCATTCTGCCTTTCTTACCTCCTCCCTACCCTAAACTTGCTCTAGCTCACAGGCTTCCCTCCCCCAGCTACTCATTCTCCTTATAACCCTGCTATTCTTGCTATGTGAGTACCTCTGGCTGTTCTCTCTCATATCTATAATCACAACCTTCCTGTTAACCATACCATGGGGAGGGCATGCAATTAGTTTATACACAGGGAAGCTTATATTCTTTCTCTTTCTGTGATTACTTTTCTTCAATCAAGCATCAGGTTCTAGCTAGGAACTAAAAAGGAAAAACAAACAACAACAACAACAACAACAACAACAACAACAAAACCCAAATCCTTGCTCCACAGTTGAACATACCTGGTTCAGCCCAGAGCCCCCAGGGGCAGAGAGATCCATCACAGGGTCAGCCAAGTGGTCCAGAGAGGAACGCACCTGCACGAAGGCCAGACCAAAGGACTGATGGCGTGTGAAAGGTTGAGAGCAGAGCAGTCGAAGTCGATCCCATGATTCTCCTGAGGCTGGAGTCAGGAAATCATCTCAAGGAAGAAGAAGGAGAAAAAGGAGGGGCTGGAGAGACGGCTCGGTAGTTAAGAGCGTTGCCACTCCTACAGAGGACCAGAGTTAGTTCCCAGCACCCATGTCAGGTGGTTTACAACTGCCTGGAACTCTAGTTCCAGGGGATCTCACACCTCTTCTGGCCTCTTTGGGAACCAGTAGTCACATATACATATACACACCCCTCCCACATATACATGAATAAAATATAAAACTAAATGTTTAAAAAGGAGAGAGATAGGGAGGGAAAGAGAGAGACGAAATAGGGGGCTGGGCATGGAAGTGCATGGTTATAATCTGGCTAACCTTGGTTGCGAAGCAACTTTGAGGTCTGCTTAGGCTACATGAGACCCTAGCGAGAGGGAGGAAGAAAGAGAGGGAGAGAGACATGTTTGTGTGTCATGCACTCTGGCCCAGGCTTGAGCAACAGAGAAGAAAATGTGTGGCATCAACAGTTATTAGTGGGAAGGCCGGAAAGGAGAAAGTCCAAAACTGAAGAAGGGAAGACGAGTCAAGGCTACGCAGGTAAATGCCAACAGGAGGAAGAATGGAGACAGATCATCAGTACAGGTCCCTTAGCTCCTTGTTTTCTATTTAGCTCCTTGTTTTCTAACCACTCCTCCATTATAGTTTCATTCTCGTCTCTACCTTCTTGAACCATGAGGCTTTGACCTCCCTCACACTACTACCCACTCTAGGTAGCCATTCCATAGCACTGAATGCCAATACCACAAACTCGGATTCCTAACATTATCCAGTCATTTCTATATCATCCCCTATGCCTCACGTAAATGCTTCCTAAACCACACTCTTCCTTTACAAAAAGATAAACACCTCCAATTTAAACACAGATAAACAGATTGCAATCTCCTCAAGTCTAGGAATCATATCTTAAAAAACTGTTACAGTGCTCAGTGAACAGAGATCTAAATAAACAGAATCCATGAAACACTATACATTATATATATAGCCAGCATATATATATCTATATCCTTTTACCACACACAAAAACTTATTCTATACCCTTTTCCTTTTTTATAGAGCTAGAGATTAAATAAAATAGGGATCAAATAAAAACATAGCAATCTCTGGATGTGGTGCCCTATGTCTGCAATTCTAGTACCTGGAAGGCTAAGGCAGTACATATTTAAGGCTAGCCTGGGCTTCACATTGAGACCCTGTCTCAACAACCAAAACCTAAACCATGATAATGTATCAGGCAACAATAAGTCACAGGTAAATATAAATCGTAGCTCAGAAATAACCCTGATGTTCTCACCAGGCAGAACTCACACACAAGTATCAGCTTACTCTGGTCTCCTAACAGATGGAGCTGAACACAGGCTCCTCCCATAATTTATACCCAGCAGCGCTTAGACCAAGCTCTACACTGCATCTGTCCTCGGAAACACCACCATGTCTGCTTTTGCCCTCTTTACCATTTTTAAACATCCGGACCCCTGAGCGGTTCTTCCCCTCTTTTGAATCAGCAAGGGACATTAGCATGGTAGCAGGGAGAAGGGTGACGAAAGGTTTGTCCAGGGGCCAGGAAGAACGACCGACATCAATCTGTAGGAAAGCACAGCCACAGTTACCTGGGGACAAAAAGTGGAAAGGAGGATGACGATCAGAATGACCATAGATGAGAATATTGGGTGGGAAGGGGACCCTCCACTCTAGAGCCAATCAGAAGCCAGAAAGTTCTGGCAACATGTGGAGTCACACAGGGAGCCACCCATTGGAATGGAATGAAACCCTAGTCCATTAAATGATGGTGAAGGTTCACTACGCCCACCACAGTCTGAAACCTGCCCTGGAAATTACTGCTAAGGGACCCAACATCTTTCTGTCCCAAGAAAGCAAAGAGCATTCTTTAGTCTAGAGAATACTAAGGCCAACTAATTTTTTTTTTTTTTTTTTTTTTTTTGAGACAGTCTTACTATGTAGCCTTAGCTGGCCTGGAGTTCACTTATGTAGACCAGACTGGTCTCAACTCAAGAGATCTATATGCCTGCTTCAGTCTCCTAGTGTTGGAATTAGAGAGATGTGCCATCACACCTGTCATCAACTTTTGAAATCTATAAACTCCTATGTCCAGGGCACTTTCCACCATCCTCCTGACACTGATCTTTAGAGGTGACAGGATTCTATTAGTATTAATCATTATGTCAATGCGAGAAGACTTTATCCAGACCAGAGTTCACACCATCATTCTAGAAGCAACATTCATATTGTATTTTCTTTAGCTATGTGTACATGAATGCATGTAGGGAGGGAAGAGGACAACATCGGTTGTTGTTCCTCAGGTGCTGTCCACCTTGTCTTTTTTTTTTTTTAATTATTTTATTTCATATGTATGGGTGTTTTGCCCACATGTATGTCTGTGTATCACTTATATGCCTGGTGCCCTCAGAGGCCAGAAAAGGAAGTCAGATCCCCTGGAACTGAAGTTAGAGATGTCTGTTAGTCACCATGTGGTTACTGGGAATTGAACCTATTTCCTCTGGAAGAGCAGCTAGTACTCTTAACCACTGAGCCACTTCTCCAGCAACCCCACCTTCTCTTTTTGTTTTGTTTTTCGAGACAGACCTTCTCTGTGTAGCCCTGGCTGTCCTAAAACTTTCTCTGTTGACCAGGCTGGCCTCAAACTCAAGAGACCCACCTGCCTCTGCCTCCCAAGGGCTGGAATTAAAGGTGTGTACCACCACCACCTTGTAGCCATTTTTATGGAGGTTTTTTGTTTGTTTCTAGAGACAGGGTTTCTCTGTGTAGTCCTGGCTGTCCTGGAATTTGCTTTGTAGATCAGGCTGACCTTGAACTCATAGAGATCCTACTACCTCCCAAGCACTGGGATCAAGGATGTGCACCACTACTGCTAGGCTGGAGGCATTTTTAAAGTTGAGGTTCCCTCTTCTCAGATGACTTTAGCTTGGGTCAAACTGACACAAAAGTATGCAAACATCAGTGATGCCCAGGGAGCCGTTTGTCTTTACCTCCCAACTCAGAGATTATAGGGATCATGTCACCACAATTGGCTTTGTGTATGTGAGTTTGTGTGTGAGCAGAAGCCAGAGGACAACTTCAAGCACGAGTGCTCACCTTCTATCTTGTTTAAGGCAGGCTGTCTCTGTTGTTCCCTGCTGTGTTAGACATACTAGCTTGCCCATGAACTTTTCTGCTTCCTATCTCACCACAGGAGCATTGGGATTACAAATGTGTATTATCCCATCTGGTTCTTATGTGGATTCTGCAGATTCAAACTCAGATCCTTACACTTGCATGGCAACTGCTTTACCACTAAGCTCTCTCCCTAACCCTTGCCTAGCTTTATTTACTTATTTATTGGTTTTTTGAGGTAGGATTTCTCTGTGGCTTTGGAGGCTGTCCTGGAACTAGCTCTTGTAGACCAGGCTGGTCTTGAACTCACAGAGATCCACCTGCCTCTGCCTCCCGAGTGCTAGGATTAAAGGCGTGGCTCCATGACTAGCTTTAAATGTGGGTTCTAGGGCTGGAGGGGGTTTAGAGTGCTTCCTGCTCTTCCAGAGGTCCTGAGTTTAATTCCCACATTACAACCATCTGTGACGAGATCTGGTGCCCTCTTCTGACATGCAGGTATACATGCAGGCAGAACACTGTCTATATAATAAACAAATCTAAAAATAAATAAATAATTAAATAAATGTGGGTTCTAAACTGGGTGGTGGTGGCACACACCTTTAATCCCAGCACTAGAGAAGCAGAGTCAGGTGGATCTCTGTGAGTTTGAGGCCAGCCTGGTATACAAGTGAGTTCCAGGACAGGCTCCAAAGCTACAGAGAAACCTGTCTCAAAAACAAAAACAAAAGAAACCAACCCCCCAAAAAACAACAACAACAACAAAAATGTGGGTTCTGGGAACCAGATGCAATCCTTATGTACTAGGCAAGGTCTTTACCAACTGAGCTAGAGCCTCTGCCCCACATCACATTCTCTATGAATGAAGACCCTGGAGTTCTCCAACACCAAACCTTCTTCAAGGGCAAACACCACACTATCCCTTCACATCCAGGCAGGACTTATTCCAGAAAGCTACTCAGTCAGAATGAACTGAGAGAGTTGAGGGGAGTGGTTACAGTCATGCCCTTGCTGTGTTTTCGATCAGAGGCCACAAAGGACCTGAAGATGCACTCACCGACATCGATGTAACTGATGGGGACCACCCTCTCCAGCTGAAGCTCCACTTTCAGCTGCCCACTCTTGTCTCGAGGACAGCTGAGCCAAGGTCCCCTATGATTGTCGGGGTTCAGCAGGTTCTCCACAGGATACTTGGGATCCTACATTAGAGAGAGGAAGAGAGGAAACAGAAGGGTTTCTGAGCTCACAGGGAAAAATGGATACCTCAGAGTAAGGGACATCGACAATCCCATCTGCTAAGGCTCCTTAGTGTGAGAGAAGGGCACCAGGGCATCCACAGGAGCTTCGCCTCACTCTCATGTGGCAGACACGTTTACTTTTACCTACCTCACTTACCCACTACCTCATTTACTTCTATTACTTCTGCTTAGTTAAGAGATAAATAAACTGAAGCTCATGGGGCTTCAAAACTCACCCAAGACCCTAAGCTAAATAACTACACAAAGCAGAACCCCCCAGATTTCTAAAACTAGAGCTTTTAACACTACACTAGGGACTGGAGAGATGGCTCAGCGATTAAGAGCATTGACTGCTCTTCCAGAGGTCCTGAGTTCAATTTCCAGCAACCACATGGTAGCTCACAACCATCTGTAATGAGATCTGGTGCCCTCTGCTGGCATGCAGACAGAAGACTATCTTAAAAAAAAAAAAAAAAAAACTACACTAAGTAGTTCTTCACTCATAAGACCCTTAAACAGACATTATTTCTTTCTTCTTCTTCTTCTTCTCATATACTATGTCTTGACCACCATTTCCCCTCCCTCCTCTCCTTCAGTCCCCCCCCCTTTCCCTCTCCCCCAGACCCATTCCTCCACCATTTCCCTTATAGAAAAGGGCAGGTCTCCCAGGGGTATCAACCAAACATGGCATATCAAGTTACAAGACTAGGCACATCCCCTCATATTAAATCTGGACCAGGTAATCCAATAGGAGGAAAAGGGTCCCAAATCAGGCAAAGGAGCCAGTGACGCCCCATTCCTACTGTTAGGAGTTCCACAAGTGCACCAAGCTACACAACCATATCAGAAGACCTAGATCAGACCCATATTGATTGCCTGATTGTTGGTTCAGACTCTACAGAGACATTTATTTTACTTATTTTTAAAAGATTTATTTATTATGTATACAGTGTTCAGTCTGCATATTTGACTGTATACCAGAAAAGGGCATCACATCTCATCATAGGTGAGGAACCAAAAATTAAAACTAATAAAAGTTTAAAAACTTAGGCCCTGAAAAGGGAACTTCTAATGGCAAAGGAAAATTTAACTCCTTAAATCAGGAGTGCCATGACTGGCACCTGATCCCCTGCTCTCAGAGAAGGAGAGGTAACTGTCCACCACTCCTGTTAACATTTCTTTGCTAACTGCTGGTAGTAAAGATCCCCCAGCCCAGGGGATCACTGACAGACCCCGAGACTTTGTAACCCTGCAACCCTGTGCCCTGTCTTATCTCACTCAAATGTATCTTACTTAAATTTATAGCTACTGCTTTACTCTGTACTTTGTATGACCTACAGTAACCATGGAAACACTGTAATTTGTGGTCCTCAACCTTATGGTCTACCCCTTTAAAAACCTCTCTTTTTGGCTGGTTGGGATCTCATTGGCCCACCATGCAGTGAGATCCTAGCTGGCCAGCTTGAAATAAAAAGAAAACTTTTGCTTTTGCATCAAAGTATCTACTCCTTGGGTTAGTCTCTGGACTCTGAACCTGGCACAATAGGTAGTTATGAACATGTTGTTTCGGGGAAGTGAACCCTGGACCTCTAGAAGAGTAGCCAGTGCCTTAACCTCTGAGTCCCATACATTCATTTACCTCCAATATAATTCTATGAAATAAGTTTTTGTTTCTGTAGTCCAGGCTAGACTCAAACATAAACCCCTCCTGAGGGCTGAAATTGTAGATGTGTACCACTACAATTAGCTAAAGATTTGTATTCTTTTTTTTTTTTAAAGATTTTATTTTTTTATTATGTATACAATTATCTGCATGCATGCTTGCACACCAGAAGAGGGCACCGGATCTCATTACAGATGGTTGTGAGAAAGCATGTAGTTGCTGGGAATTGAATCCTGGAAGAGCAGTCAGTGCTCTTAACCTCTGAGTCATCTCTCCAGCCCCCAAGATTTGTATTCTTAATTTACAACCGTTGCTTAGATATAGTGATTATTCAAAGTCATTGACAGTGACATTGAAATTTATGAAATCCCAAGTTCACTAATGCAAATGAAAATCCTTTTTGGTTGACCAGCTTTGAGTAAACAAGTGACCTTCTTCCTCTGGTTCTATGTTTCTTTATAAATAAAAGGGAAAAACCATATTAATGACTTTCGTTTGGTTTTTAGAAACAGGATATCAAGGATGATCTCCCAAGTTCTGAGATTATAAGCATGCTCCTCCAACCCCAGTCTTTTCCCCATTCTTTATCTTTTTTTGTTTTTTAAATGAATATGCGTGTTTTGCCTGCATGTGTCCACAGAGGCCGGAAAAGGGTGTCTGATCCCCTAGGGCTGGAGTTCCAGATGGTTGTGTCATGTGGGTGCTGGAAACTGAACCAGGGTGGGTCCTTTGGAATACCAGCAGCCATTCATAACTGCTGAGCCATCTCTCCAGCCCCAAATGCACCCAGCCTTGACTCATGATTTTTAACCATTTTTTTTGTTTGTTTTATTTGTTCTGGCATTAAATCCTTCTTGTAACTATAATTTCATGTGAGGATGTTTTTCCCATAAAATAAAAGTAAAGCTCTAATTAAAATATGGGCTGGGGAGGGAGGCTAAAGACATACTTTTACCCTTCTCTCCAGCTTCTAGAACAGTCTCTACGGAGACCACAATGTTAGAAGAATGCTAGTACTCTCTAAAATTCTATGACAAAACATTTCAAGGTCGATATGGTGGTACAGGCCTGTAATAAAAGCACTCAGGTGGATCAGGCAGGATGATTTGAGAGTCTGAGGTCAACCTGGGGATACACAGTAAGTTCAAGGCCAACCTGAGCTACATGGCAAGATCTTATCTCAGAAACAAACAAACAAAAACCCCATAAAAGCAAACAATACTCGAATAAGCATGTACATCTTTGTGAGTTTGAGGCCAGACTGGTCTACAAATAGAGTTCTAGGTCAGTCAGGGACATAAAGTAAGACTTTGTCTCAAAAAAAAAGAAGAAAAAGAAAAAAAGAAAAAAAGAGAAGGGAGAGGACAAGGATGACAGTTCAAGATGGCTTGCAGGTAAGGAAGGCTAAGACAATTTTTTTATTATTTATTTATTTATTTATTTATTTTTTCGAGACAGGGTTTCTCTGTGTAGCTTTGGAGCCTATCCTGGCATTCACTCTGGAGACCAGGCTGGCCTCAAACTCACAGAGATACACCTGCCTCTGCCTCCCGAGTGCTGGGATTAAAGGCGTGCACCACCAACGCCTGGCTGACAATATTTAGTTTTTCTCATGGGTTAATATAGTAGTTCTTAAGCACCATCTAAGGGGGCTCTCTGAAATATGTGGGGGTTAAAAAATAATTTATTTACTTTAATTTTATGTATATGAATGTTTTTCCAGGATGCATATATGTGCACCACATACATGTCTGCTGGATTCCCTAGAACTGGGCTTAAGGATGGTTGTGAGCCACCATATAGGTGCAAAGAATCAAAACTAAGTCTCCTGAAAACAACATGTACTCTTAACCATTGAGCCATCTCTCCAGTCCTGTGTGGGGATGCTTTTAACTGTCATAATCACCATGAAGTGTATTGTCATTAGGGCCTGGAAACCAGGGATGCTAAATTCTACCATGCTAATAACACTGCTGTAAAACAGACTTAGTCACCCAAATGTCAATGGGTAGCTTAGCATTCCTCAAAAAAGATCAGTATAATGAGAGGAAAGAGAGGGGATAAATGGATGAAGCAAATGACCAGAGGAAAGGGTGGGAAGTCCCTAATAATCCCCACGGTAGACTGGCACTGGATCTAGCCCAAGACAGGAACTGTAGAACTTCCATAAAGTGATCATATTTGATGGTGATAACTATATCCTCTTAGGTCAAGCATTGCCTTGAGTTCCCTTGATTAATTTCAATGGCAGTATGACCAAACAGCCTTTCTAGAAATTCTGGTATAGCCAGGCCTAGGGTTTTGTCAGCTATCTACAAAACATGGACAAATGTTCTACAGCTATCCACTCTTTTTAGTCATCAGAAGAAAAGCAGTCATGGCTGGTGACTAATATACCTGAGAGGAAAATGATACTACATGGCTAATCTTCACAGGAGCCATTGGAGGCTACCAGTTTCCTCAAGTACAAGGTGAATATGCTTCCTCCCAGGATATCTTCTGTTACCACGGTGGCACTGCCTCTTTTGCTCTTGATAGCTTTTGAGAGAACAAGAATCCTCACATTACTCCTAGAAAAAAAAAAAGAAAGAAAGAACAAAAGTAACATAAGCTACCTATCCTTATCTCTTTGGCAACAAGAATTATTTACAGAAGTTGGCTCATTTCTCAGGGCCACTATGGACTTGTAGGAAGCAAATCTGGATCATCCAGAGACCCAACAATTCAGACAGCCTCAAGGAAACAAAGCAGCAAATTAAATTTACACATAGGTAAGCTCCGAAGAACATGAATGGTGCCATAAATCACCTATCTCTAAGTCCTTAGGAGCCTAGGACACAATAAGGATGGGCAACAAATGTACAAGTATTTCTCTGTTCAATGGAATCTTTCTAAATTAGCTTTTCATTCCTCCAAGCTCAGTGTGGTGTCCCATGCTTATGATCCTAGCATTTGGGAGGCTAAGGCAAGAGGACACAGTTTAAGGCCAGCTTGTGTTACATAGCAGATTCAAGGCAAGCTTGGGGTACACAGCCAGACCCTGATTCAAAATGAAGTATCCTTGGGCCAGTGAGACGTATCAATATTGTTTTTCTTTTTTTGTTTTTTGGAGACAGGGTTTTTTTGTGTAGCCCTGGCTGTCTAGAATCTAGCTTTGTAGAGCAGGCTGGCCTCAAACTCACAGAGATCTGCCTGTCTCTGCCTCCCAAGTGCTAGGATTAAAGGCGTGTACTATCATGTCTGGCAGCTGATAAACCTCTCTCTCTCTCTCTCTTTTTTTTTTTGAAGATTTTATTTATTTATATATATATGTTTTTCGAGACAGGGTTTCTCTGTAGCTTTGAAGGCTGTCCTGGAACTTGCTCAGTAGGCCAGGCTGGCGTGCACTACCATGTCTGGCAGCTCATAAACTTTTTAATGAGTTCACACTGGTGTATATACTCATGAAGCCATGGTCAATGTCAGGTGTCCTCTATCATTCTCCACTTTACTTTTTGAGACAGTTCTTGCCTCTTGCTTAACCCAGTTTAAAAACTGGCTAGGTATGCTTGCCAGTAAGTCCCCAGGATCCCTGACTCTATTTCCCAATGTTGAGATTATAGGCAGCCATGGCTACTGGCTTTATTTTTTTTTTTTTTGGCGGGGGTGGGGGGGGGGTGGGGGGGGAGGGGCAGGATTTCTTTGTGTAACTAACATTCCTGGCTGTTCTGGAACTCACTTTGTAGATCAGGCTGGCCTCAAACTCACAGAGATCTGCCTGCCTCTGCCTCGAAGTGCTAGGATCAAAGGTGAGCACCACCAAGGTTGGTAATTTAAGTATATGCAAAAATACACAGAAAATAAATTAACTCTAATGTGTTCATCATTCATGGTCAGTAATTCTCTGGTAACAAGTGTTTTAATGATATCTGAACACATTTTGGTGGTGGTGGTGGTAGAGTCTCAAGATTCTTTTTTTTTTTTTTTTTTTTTTGAGACAGAATCTTGCTACATAGTCCTGACCTTGTAACTGCTATGCAGCCCAAGCTGGCCAAATATTTTCTACATTTATTTGTTTTGTGTGTGGGCATATACATGCAGGTGTCAGAGGACAGCTTGCGGGAGTCAAAACTTCCCCTTCTACCAGTGGGTCCTGGGGATGCAATGCAGGTCACTAGGCTTGGTGGCAACTGCCTTCTCCTACCAAGGCATCTTCTGTCCCCAAAGGATTTATAGTTTATGCTTTGAGTTTTTTTTTTTTTTTTCGAGACAGGGTTTTTCTGTGTAGCTTTGAAGCCTATCCTGACACTAGCTCTGGAGACCAGGCTGTCCTCGAACTCAGAGATCCGCCTGCCTCTGCTTCTTGAGTGTTGGGATTAAAGGCATGTGCCACCAACGCCCGGTTTGCTTTGAGTATTTTGCCTGCATATATCTATATATACTACATGTGTGCTTGGTGCTGGAGGAAGCCAGAAGAGAGTGTCGGATCTCCTATACTGGAGTTACAGATGATTGTGAACTGCCATGTAGGTGCTGGGAATTGAACCTGGGTCTCCCCTGCAAAGCAGCAAGTGTTCTTAATCTCTGAGCCATCTTGTTGGCTCCTAAAAAGTTATTTTTGAGGTGAAGGTCTTACTGTGTTTAGCCCAACCCAGATCCTTCTGCCTCAGCCTCCCAAATTTTGTGATCTCAGGCATGAGATATCATGTTCATGCCAGGGTGGTCTTGAACTCCTGGGATCAAGTTATTTTGCCTCAAGAGTAGCATGTACCATCAAACCTGAATTTTTCTTCAAATATTCTCCCTGAAAATATGAGTCCATGAATACCGATATATTCATGACCATAATGGCTTTCTAATCGATTCATCACCGAGGTTTTCTTTCTATTTTTTCCTGCTATTGATCCTGCTTGGAAGACTTGCTCTCTTTACAACTTGTTTAACCTAATTTATTTTGATGTTCAAATGTTTCTCTCTCTCACACACACCTACCTTAATCAGTTTCTGGTAACTGCTCCATCCGGCCAATTCTGTGTTTAACAAAGTGCTTCCTCATGTTGTAACTATATGGTTATGTCTATGTCTCTTGACAAGGTTGTGAGATCCTGGAGAACAGGATTTTTGTTTGACTCATTCTTAAATATCTAACGTTGGAGGGAGAAAACATACAGATGATTAGCAATTATGTGCTCATTGAGGTTCCCTAGGTTCTACAGCTCTCAGTCCCTCTGAGGCTTAAGACCTCGGAATGAGTTGCTCTGTTAATTTTTTTGTTGTGTTGTTGGCCACCCTCCTCCCTTTCAGCTACTCCTCTACAATAGACAAATCCCAACGCCTCTCACCCGCGTCCATGAATCTTAAAAAGTCGGGGCAGCTTTAGCTCCTGGGCTCCAATCTTATTCTCCCGCCAATTCCGTCCGGTGACCTCCGCCTTGTGGCCAAAGCGCCACCCTGCCTACTGAAGCTCAGGAACACGTTTTGAGGCTTAAAGAAGCCGCTATTTCGGAAAGATGGCTCCCACAGGAAAGACAGCAGTTACTCATCTAAAAAACAACAAAAAGCCCCCCATGCTTGGGTTTTTATGTGTATTTTTATTCATGACACTCTTCCCGTAGAGGGCGGGATTTAAACTTCCGGGTCGGGCTTGATGCAGCATGGGAAATGTAGTTCTTAGTGCACACGCGTCTCTGCCCGTAGTCCAAGCGAGGGAGCGTCGCGAAATTAGCGCCTTCAGGGACTCTCAGTTTTTGCTCTGCACGGTGACGACTGGTGAACTATTTACACTGAAATAGTACAAGAACAGATTTTCTCTTTCCGAGGACTCGACTCTTTCCTGCTGAAGCTTGGCAGTGCACGAGAGTCGCCCTTTCTTAACTCAGAAGGAGCAGGTAGAGAGTCTCTCGGTTCCTTACAGGGATCTGCCTGTCTTGACGCTCCGCCCAGGCAGCTCCTCCGATTGGCTACAAGCGCTTGAGCGGCGGAAGCAGCTGGCTCGCGGGGGACAGGGGTGGGAGCCGGCCGTGAAGATGGCGGCAGTGGTGGAGGTGGAGGTTGGAGGAGGTGCTGTTGCGGAAAGGGAGCTTGATGAGGTAAGACGAATTGAGGGACAAGAAGGGAGAGGCATCTGGAAAGTGGAAGGAGAGGAAGTGAAGAATGGGAGCCGGAGGCCCTAGGAGAAACGGGAAAGATCCTGAGGAAAGAGGGAGCTGATTGGGAGGCGGATTTTCCATGAGGGAAATCTGAGGGCTTCTGACTCAGGGACCCCGAGACGTTCCTGGTGCAGTAGATTGGTAGTATCTCTAAGGGTGGTAATGGAGGGAAGGCCAGAGGCCAGAGAGACGGGAACGTTAAAGATTTTGAGATTATTAGATGGAGGTCCAAGGTAGGACTAAGGGGCTCTCTAGGAGTAGCATTAATTAATTGGAGGGGCGTGGACTTTTGCAAGGCAAGGCCGAGGCTTTCACTGTGGGAAAGGACTAAGAGCTTGACCTGAAGGTTGGGGGACACAGATCGGGAAGCAATGCTAATATGCTAGTATTACATCTTAGCATTATTTTTAGGTAGGAACCATCTTACTCATTTTTTCATTTTAGGGTTTGTACATACCGCATGCTCAGTAAAGTTTTGGTCAAGGAATTAATGAATAATTGAAAGTGAATGAATAATTTTGTAACAGAAACAGACCATTTGTTCATTGAGCAAACATTGTTACTTCTGTGGCAAGTCCTGGGCTAAGTGCTTGGGACACAAGAGACCTTCCTCTTGTAAAGTTTACAGTGTAGTTATAGGATAAGAAGAGGCATTGCATTGTAAATATAGTGGTGGTTCCGAGAAGAGGCCTAGGGAAAGTTTTCCAGCTGTTGAATGGTTTCCTAGTTCATATTCATTCTCATTCTCTTTCATCCTCCCTTCCCCTCTTCTCACGGGTTCCTTCAAGGTGAACTTGAATAGGTATGAACCCGTTATCTAATAAGCATTTAACAATCGGGGTATTGAATTACTTGTGGTCCGTGAAGGAGACATTGAGCTTGAGAGAATGAAAAGTACAGGGCTCTGTAGAAGAAAGTGAAGGTATGAAAGATAGGGGCCAATCTGAGGCCAAATGGTCAGTGATAGTTTAGAGTTGCTGCGTGGTCTTCTCTGTGATAGCCTATGGACTGAGATAATACCAAAGAAATAGCAGGGGAAGTAGTGATTGTCAGGGATGGAAGTAGTGGCGTCCCTGAATGGTTAGAATTTTTGAGGACTCTTGCTCTGTGTTTGCTATGGGATAGATTGGTGAAGAGCCTCAGGAAGGGAGTAGATGTAGGAAGTAATGACGATTGTATGGTATGAGGTTAACTTGTTTTTGTTTCCCCCTTCTGATTGCAGTTAATAAAGTGAGAACACAAGACTTAACAGGTAACAGGTGGCCTAGTTTCTTACCTGCCAATCACTAAAAACTAAAGGTGTTTGAGCCCTACTTGGTTGGGAAGGTAAAGTGGTTGTAGAAACAACCTCCAAGGCTCCTTCTAGTTGTAAGTTTCTGTGTTTACAGTTGGCTGCTCTTGATTGAGGTATTGTGAAAGCACCTTAAAGTAGTAAATAGTATACTGAAATTAAAATTTTCAGTTTGTTAGTCATGGGTCTTCACTGAAATAGTTTCATGTGTCTTAATTTTTGGAGATAGGGTCTTGATATGTGTTCCGTGTTGTCACTGAACACATTGATTCTCTCCTCTCTCTGGTGAGTGCTGGAATTACATGTGTGTGCTGCTGTGCCTGGCTAATTTTTTGACTTTGTTTCTTAGTGCTTTCAAGGCTTAAATACAACTAGTAGGATGAGGCATAGTTCAGTGTTGGGTCAACTTTATATGAAGCCACTAGCATCCATCTCAGAACCCTCATTGTTTGTGTTATTTCTATAAATTCTGTGTGAACTGGTTCTGTCCTTTTCCTTATGAGTTTTAAGAAAGTAACATGAGAAGCAGGAAGTTATCTTGAAGCTCCAGGAAGAACCAGGTCTGGCCTGACAGACCTCAGTTTGTATGCCTTCTACTAATGTCTCCTCTGCTGGTTTGTGCTCAAGCCTTCACTAGCGAATGATAAGGTGAACTGCATCAATCATATGTAACTTTGGGGGCTTGCTATGTGTCATGCATTGGAAATTCAAAGGTGAGTAAAACACTATCTTTACCAATTTACAGTCTAGTGAGTAGATACACAAAAAGCCCATCACAATGCTACTACTTAGGTTTTAGATTGACAAGAAGTGCAGTGAGGAACAAAAACAAACCTAAAGTTGGTTAGGGGAAGTCATGATGGAGATGGAAATAAGCTGAAGAATTAAAGGTTGAACCTACAAGAAAAGAAAGAAAATTTGCATGTAAATCAGAGTTGCTTTCAAGTTGGGCTTTCACAGTAAGGTGGCTGACACACCTTACTGTGGAGTCAGGAGAGCCTGGCTAATATGGGAGTGATGTACTTTTCTACTATGGAAAGAAAGCACATGCTGTTGGTCATTCTTCAGATTATTATACCTTTATTTTTAAAAATCAGATAGATGTCACTAGTACATACATAGTCTGGAATAGCAGTTTATTCATAGTCTTCCACTTTTTGGTCTGGCTTCATTATTACTTTCTCTGGAAGCTGAGAGTTGATGTAGGTATTGCTAATAACTTCTACATTGGAGAAGAAGGTAGAAAGATGGGCTTGGGAAAGAAGTACCAGTAGAAATGGGCACTGTTTATGGAGTTTTAAACCAGCTGCTGTTTAAAGCTCTTTACCTTTACTGTCTCATTTATTACTTACGGTAGCCATATGAGTTTAGATGCTATACCAATGGCATTTTGTCTTTTCTTTAAAAGGACTGGTTTTAACTTAAGCGTATATGCACACAAGTGTGCCAGCCTTTGTAGGGTCCTGAAGAGGGTGTCAGATCCCTTAGAGCAAGAGTTATATATAGATGGTGTAAACTAACCAGTGTGGGTGCTGGGAACTGAACTTGTGTTCTCTATAAGAACAAGTATTATGTTTTCTTTTCTTTTTTTTTTCTTATGTGTTCTTAACCACTGAGCTGTCTTTCTAACCTCAGCTCTATTTTTAATTTTTTTTTATACAATACAAGGTCTTGATATGTTTCCCAGGCTGGCCTTGAACTCAGAATCCTCTTGTCTCAGTTTTCCAAACAGCTGGGATTATAGTGTACACATCATGCCTGATAAACTACACCTTTTAAAATACTTGAAGCAAAAACTTGAATCAGCATTTCTTTACTGAGAGGACCAAAATGAATATTAACCAAGGGAGTTGTTTTCATGTAAGTTCTTTAATTTATTGATACCGTGATCATGTCAAATTCTTGGTCATAAAAAATGATTATTGCTGCAAATGAATAGTTTACATATTCTAGGCCTGATTGTCTTTCTGTCTCTCTTGAAACAGTCTCAGGTAGATCAGGCTGGCCCCAAACTCAGTATGTACCCCAGGGTTATCTTTTTGTTTGTTTGTTTTTGAGATAAGGTTTCTCAGTATAACAGCCCTGGCTGTTCTTGAACTTACTTTGTAGACCAGGGTAGCCTTGAACTCTAGATTCTCCTGCCTCTGCCTCCCGAGCACTGGGATTAAAGGCAATTGCACTACTACCTGGCAGTGGATGATCTTGAATTGGTACTCATACTGAAAGCCTTTCCTTTTTAATTAAGTCTTACCTGTCTTTCAGGGGTCCAGCCAAGGCTTTCTTGGCTTTTAGGACTATTCTGACTTAAACATTAGACTTTCCCCCTGCCATTTGCCCCTCTATTAATCCCATACTGGCCTTGAATTTGCAGTCTTTCTACCTCACCTTTAGTGCTGAGATTATAGGCATATACTACCACATGTATGTAGTTACCTGCTTTTAGTCACAGTCCTAGGTTTATCCTTTAGTTTATTAGTTTATTCATCAAATCTTTTTTGTTTTTTGAGACAGGATCTTGGTATGAAGCCCTGGCTGCTTTGAACTCCACATAGACCAAACTTATCTTGAGCTTTGACCAGCCCTCCCCTCTGAATGCTGGGATTACAGATGTGTTTCACCATACCCAGTTTATTCATCAGATTTCTATGTGTTAGTTCCAGTGTTATGCCTCATAATACAATGGATACAGTGTGATATGTCCACAAGGAGATCATAGACTATGACAGGATCAAAGACTGATGAGTGGAAGAATGTGCCACCATTGCTGTAATTGTGGAGTAGGTGCAGTTAACAAGGAAATGCCTACAGTATAGCTGTTCTTCCCAGCTACTTTGGTAAAACCCCAGAACCCAGGCTGAGATAATTCTATTCTCTTGCTTTTTCAAAGCAGTAGTTGTTGCTTTGTTTTTTATGTTTTCCTCCTGTGGATTTCTCCCTGTAGACATTTGATAAGTGTGCCTTGTTTCCAGGATTTGCTTCTCTTGGGATTCTTGGTCCAAGCTAGATCTTATGCAAGGAAGTGAGGTATATGTGAATGAAGTTTAATCTTGGATACCTGTCTTTGGAATTTCTTTCCCTCCCTCCCATCCTTCCATCCTTCCTTCCTTCCTTCCTACCTTCCTTCTTTCCCTCCCTCCCTCCCTTCCCTTCCTTCCCTGCCTTCCTTTCTTCCCTTCCTTCCTTCCTTCCTTCCTTCCTTCCTTCCTTCCGTTTTTTTTTTTTTTTTTTTTTTAATTTCTCTGTGTAA